ATTGAAAATATATTTAAAAAATATTTTTAAAATTTATTAAAAAAACATATATGTAATAACCTTTCACATTATGTTTATGAAATACAAATCAATAGATTCAAATTGGAAATAAAGTCATTTACTCTTTTATATACCTAAGGAATAATTTACTTTAGTGTAACATAATGCTTATATAACATATATGTATATGTACAGTCGACTCTTGTTATTTCAAACCTGCGTTATTTCGAACCTCTCATTATTTCAAAGTTATCCCTCAGTAATTCGAAATAAAAATCATTGCTAAGACGCGGTAATTCGTACTCATATGGTTAAACACTCGACAATTCGAAATATTTTAAGAGTCCCTTGAATTTCGAAATAACGAGAGTCGACTGTATAACATAATGCTTAAATCAAAACTCCCATTTATAATTGTCATTAGAATAATGTGAAAAAATATTTAATTAATTTACTGTATTTTAGCCAACAGCTTAAGTTTAAGTTCAGATATTTTACATGCATATTTTTAACTTTAATTATAAAATATTGTAGCTACTATTAAATTTGCAAGCCAAAGTTTGCATGTTGTGTCTGGGTCTTTACTGAGCTCAGCTGTCCACAGTTATTTGTATTAGACGCCTTAATGAACCTAATTTATTCAATATAAGCCACACAACTTGACCACGTTTGTATATACCATTTATTTGTATGTATAAATTTGCACTTGCATGTACACCCATATATGTATGTGTCTGAAGCTGTCTGGCTATCAGATGGATATTAAAGCACCTGTCCAACAACAACAACAACAACAGCAACAGCAACAGCAACAGCAATGCCAACAATTAAGCAGCAAACTGTGACAAAGTCTCAATTAGGCTATCAAATTGCCAGCAGGGACAGCGACAATAGCTGAGCAGGACAGATGCACAGAGTGAGACAGACAGAGAGCCTAAAAAGAGACAGAGAGAGAGAGTAGGAGAGGGACTGAGATAGATAGAGCGTGAATGAGAGGAGGAGAAAAGCATTGCAATTAAGTGCAATGAATGCACTCACTGTGCAACTGAGTGTGTGTGTGTGTGTGTGTGTGTGTGTGTGTGCGTATGCGTACGGCTTTGTCCGTGTGCATGTGTGTGTGGTAGTCTGCGGTCATTTGCCGTTGCATCAACCAGTTGCTGCTGCCCACCATTCATTGCTGGGTCAATTGTTTGGCTAAGCTAAAGATTCTGGACTTTGGATAAGGCAATGTGTATTTGAATGATGATCCCCGCCGGTGGCTCTTGTGCCAGCAATTCCCTTTTCACTTCAAGCAGCTCAGATTACACGCGCTGACCGCTTTGGTTGTGGTTGGCCAAGTGCCACTTAATTGTGGGCATAATCAGAGCTGAAGACAATTGCAATGGCAATTGCAGTCGTTGACAGCTGAATGCCATGCGGATAGCCAAGGTGGCGACAATTTAACATTTAACACTGCTCTTGGCATTTTTCAGCTGACCAACAAGTGAGACGGAGGTGAATAGCTTGGAATTGCCGTCGTCGACTTGTGCCGAATACTAAGCATGTTGCAGAATCCTTCCAAATATCACGCAAATCCCTTGTCACACTTCCTGGCATTGCATAACACACAAGCCAGCAGCGTGGCACACGCACATGCACACGGACATGGACATGGACACGGGCAGGGACAGGGACATGGACATGGGCATGGACAGCTGCAACCGCATCATACACTGCCAACGGCGGCGTTAGCTGCAGCAGCCGCGGCAGCTGCAGTGACGGCAGCGGGTCAAAGTTCGTATCAAATGGAGCTGCAGTCGCACCAACAGCAGCAGCAGCAACAACAACAACAACAACAGCAACAGCAACAACAGCACCAGCAGCAGCAACTTCCCATTGGCCTCCCAACACCCACACAGGCACAATCGCACACACACACACACAACCACCACAGGGAGCAGCTGGCGACTGCGACGTCGCACGCGCAGCTCATTGAGGCGGCCGCGGCGCATACCTCCCTCGATGTGGGCAAGTCGTTTACAATAGCCGCCATTTTAGGTCTGCAACAGCAGAGCAAGGAGTATAATAATGCCATTAATCTGTCGCTCAATGGCGGCACGTCAGCAGCGGGCACAGGTGGAGGCGCTGCTGGTGCGGATGCTCTCGACCAGGATAACAATAACAGCAAGTGCTACAATAGCAACAGTGCCAACAGCAACAGCAACAGCAATAGCAACCACAACAACAGCAGCAGCACTAGTTATGGCACCAGCAACAACAATAACAACAACAACAATGGCCMAAGTGTAAATAACTTCAATTGTGATAGCAGCGGCAGTCGCTACCTGCCCGCTGTACAACATACTCTTCCGCATCCCCACACCCACTCCCACTCCCAGCAGCGGGCAAATTTTGCTGCTGCCGCTGTTGTCGCCGCCGCCGTCAGTGGAGCGCCCTCCGCACTGCAGAGCTTGCAACAGCTCCACCAGCATCACGCGCAGCAGGCCTCGCTTAGCTTCCAACGTGACAAGCTCAAGTCGGGTAAGTCGAGTCTAGCATTAGAGATTTGCTTTATATTAATCATCAATTTTTTCCTCTTTCATTGCCTTCACAGACTCGCAGAAAAAAAGCGGACTGAAGAATAAGCGCGTCCGAACTATCTTCACACCAGAGCAGCTGGAGTGCCTGGAGGCGGAGTTCGAGCGCCAGCAATACATGGTGGGACCCGAGCGTCTATACCTGGCGCACACACTCAAGCTGACGGAGGCCCAGGTGAAAGTGTGGTTCCAGAACCGTCGCATCAAATGGCGCAAGCATCATTTGGAGCTGACCCAACAGCGTTTGGCATTGATTAGACAAACTCAACTGCCAGGTGGAGGAGTGACAGCGGTGCCAGCATCGACGAACACTACGTCTTCCGTGGAGCTGCCCCTGAACGCCGGCTGCAGCACAGCCTCGCCGAGCTTGCTAGAAGAGGACAATGAGGACAGCAAACAGTCGCTATCGCTACCGCTACGTCCAATGAGTCGAGCGGCCTCCGAATCCGATTTATCTATATGCAATGACTCCCTGGATTTAGACGGCGATAGCCTTATGGATGGCAGTGAGGAGGCATAAGCAATCCGTGCAGACAAATATGTAAATATAGTAAAATAAATCTGTTTAATACGCACTAAATCCTTATTTAAATATAAATGTATATATTTATTAGAAGTGAACATTTCCCCCTTAGTTTAATATACTTTTACAATTACACGAATTACGTTTGCTTAGCTCTTAACGAATTACATATACATCTCTATTTTATAATGAGTTGTGTACATATGCAATTATCACACACTAAAGAGTTCAGTTATTGCTGTGTCGCCGAGACGACTCTATCGTAGCAGGAGAGATGCACCACCTGGCCATTTGGGTAGCGCACAAGGGCTGTTTCGTTGGTGAAGCGTTTCCTGCACTCGGGACACAGAGTGGACTCATTTATTTCGAAGCTCTTGTTCTTCTCCTTGGCGAGAGAAGCTCGCAGTCGTGCGGCTTCGGCTTGCAGGAGGCCGCGTATGATCTTACGCTGGTGGCTTTCGTTCATTTGGGTGCGAGCCACCGTCTCGAAATAATTTTTCAGCTCATGCATGTAAATGTCATCGGGCAGGTACTGGAAATAGCAAATGAATGAGTGTAAGTAAAAATTGCCATGGGATAACTGCAAATAAAAGGCGCTTACTTCGATAATCTTCGTGGGATCAATTTTAATGGTATATGTGTTGAGCAAGTCCACTGCGACATCTTTGTTCGGCCTAAGAAAGTCGGGATGCAAGGTAACGCCCTCATAAGGTGGTTGTTGTGTTGGCTTCAGTATAGTGAGAAGCAATATATTGAACACCTCCTTATCGTCCTCGTACTTCGCCTCTGCGTATGCTTTAGCTTTGTCCACATCGCCGAAAACTTGTATATATATGGCTAGCACTTCCTCATGCTTTTTGAGGCGACCTAGAATTAGGGCCCGCTCCTCTAGCAGCACTGTGCTCGGAAAGTCATCCAACACGCGATCCGGCGAATAATGTTGCGACTCTTCCAGCATTTTGTACATCTTGGCGCGCAAGGGCTGTAGCTCGGGTGTTTCTTCTCTATCAATTAACGACACAATAATAATAATATTGGGATATATAAAATTATACGACTTACCCCTTGGCCTGCAGAGCCAGTAAGCGTTGCACCTGCTCGCTGTACTGCTTAAGAAGTGCATTGTGACGTAGGGTGTTGGTGTCATTCCATTCGAAAATGATGTGCTCGAGGTAAGGTATGACGAGAGCCTTGTGCTTACTTAGCAGGAAGTCAAGAACTTTGGCACGAGGCAATGCCTCCACGGCGATCAGCTCGTCGGTGAATATTGTTAGACCTTCCATCGGATTCTCAGTCAATACCCAATCAGCAAATTCAAAAATTAACGGTAGATTATCGGAGCCAAGTGACTGAAGATAAGTTATGGTGCGTTTATGTCCCTGCAATACTGATCCCTTAATATTCGCTTGTTCTTTCAGCAGTGTTAGGGCCTTTTTGTGTTTTTTTTTGCCATCGTAGAGAATGATCAGCTCCGAAAGCTTGTTGTGTTTCTTTAACATTTTCTCAGACTCCTCTAGGTGGCATTGGTTAAGTCGCAGCAGAGGCGCAACCAGCGCATCATTTGTCTGCAGATAACACTTCAGCAGTGTGGTATCAATAATTTCCAGTAGGGACTTTGAGCTGCTCTTGGTGTCGAGCAGCTTTACCACTTCTCGTTGACGGGCTTGCACCAGAAATTCAATAAGCGCCAAGTACGCATTTTCAAGGTCATGATCCTCCAGCTTCGGTACACTAGATGGTGGAACCACAGCATCTGTAGTGTTTTTTGGCTCCGGAACCAAGCTAGGGAATAGGCGTATCACATCATAAGGATCAATGTTAGCTTTCTCAAACTCTTTCATGGCTGCTGCAAACTCTTTATTGGTAAAGAGCTCTTTGGCATAGAGCATACGTATTTGACGTATGGTCTGTGCTTTATCAACGCCATCTTCTTCGGAAATTTCCTTAGAAATGGATGCAATATTAGCGTAACTCATGCTTGGGGCACATTTAGAGTAAGCTTACAGTTAATTCAATTGCCAGTTGGAATTTCTTTTGCTGCAATAACTCTTGTCGCTGCATTCGAATGTCCACGAGGCGTATACACCACAGCTCAGATGACGCGGCGGCGAAAATGATGCCCTTATCGGAGCGAACAAGAAATCTAGTATTTTTCAGCTCCGGTATAGATTGAACTAAAGTGTCCTTGCCTACCAAACTGCGCACCTCGATGGTATTTTTAGTGCGTCCAACAGCAAAAGGCTCATCCCAAACTGAAAAAAAACCACTAGTGTTAGTGCGTATAGCAAAGAATTAGATTGTATCAATACCTAGAGCCAATAGCGGACTTGACCATTGCGTCAATGTAGTTCTGTTCATGCCAGTGTCGACGTTATTGTCTATGGCTTTGTATTGGCCAAGATCGATGAGCATTAGGTAGTTGTCTTTGGATATGCCCAGCATACTATTTCGTATAAGGCAAATATTGGGCTCCTGGCTTATAGTGGACGACGTAAGTATGAGCTTGTGCATCTTTGGAGGATTGTAGGATATCTTGCAATGGAGAATGGATTGTGTGTAAAGATTATTGAATTCTTAACAAGTGACATCACTTACATCGTATAAAACATATTCATCTTTGTAGCCGACACAGATGAGCTGATTTACCCAGCACATTGCCTTGGGGACATCAAGGAGCTCAATGGCCAACTCCAGAGAAGCGAGCTTGTCCTTTTTCCAGAAGAACAATACCAATCGACGTTTGATAGCGCAGCCTATTCGTATAAATGTGGCCACCTCGCCCGTAATCGACTTGCGTGTGTCTACATCCATTGTGAATAATGTACATCCCTTAGTTTCCGCAGAGCTATGCATAAACTCAAAATTGTTCTCGATCCGGCTTACATCACACACATGAATTATATTGTCGGTGAGTACAAACAGCAAATTTTCAGCAGCCACTACTTCCATTTGCGTAATAGGTTTCTTGCTGAAATTCTTATTGAACATTCGCATATCGACGTCTGTTTGATTTTCCACTGAGTACATGATGAGCTGACCGCTCCGGGTGCCCAAAATGACATGATTACCTAGTGGTCATAAGAATGTTTGTAAAAAGATCATATTATATTATTTATTATAGGTAATTACTTACCAAATGCTGTAATGGCTTCAATTTGAACTCCCTGCTTTAATATGGACTGCACACTGTAGGCCGTATGCATTTTGCTTTTTTAATTGGCGTAAGCATATGCCTGAGTGCAAAGAAAACAAATATTCAGCCACTGTTCTGTTCTGTGGTTAGTGATTCAGCCCAGCCCCAGTCCGCAAACAGCTGATATGAGGCCCACACACGAGCAAAAAGGCTACAGCAATCGCATAATTTTACAATATTTGATAGATTTGCCGTGCGGTTATATTATAAATAAAATATTCAAAAGAAAAATTAAGAAAACAAGCGTTACTGCAATGTCTTTATTATGCATACATATGCCCACATATACCGGCAAAATGAATGTCTGTCGCACAGTGTGTGGGTACTATATCTGCACGCAACTTTGCAACACTGCCTATGGCACTGCCACCCTGTGCAATAAATAATATGTCCAGCGGGATACGGCGCGCAATTTGTGAGCAGGTAATTAACTGAAATAAATTATTGAAGCATATGTACAATTTAATTCTATATTTAAAACAGCTGCCACAACTGAAAAATATTTATTATGCGTTGGAAGTGCCTTCTAAAGTGCAGAACAGTGCCGCTACACGACCGCTGCTTCAGTGGATTTTGCCGGCTGATGTTGCACAACATGAAAATGAATTGTTGGACTCGGTAAAAAGACAACAGTTTGATACCACATTTATTGAAGAAGTGCGTGTGGTGCCCCGAAACGGTCGCAATGCGGCCAAAGTGGAATTCCAGATTCAACCAGATGCATTTGCAGCACATCTTCTTCAGGCAGATTCAGTCGTACCAAAGGCGTCAGCCTTTCAGGAGGAGCACGTTGTTGTCGAGTATAGCTCACCCAATATAGCAAAGCCCTTCCATGTGGGGCATCTGCGGTCCACAATCATAGGTAATGTGCTGGCCAATCTTTATCAGCATTTAGGTTACCGTACGACGCGTCTTAACTATCTGGGCGATTGGGGCACCCAGTTTGGCTTGCTGGCACTTGGCGTCCAACTGGGGAGCATTAGCGATGATCGAATACGTGAGGCACCAATTGAGACGCTATACAACGCGTATGTCATGGCCAATAAAGCCGCCGCAGAGGATCCACAACTAGCTCAACGAGCTCGTGAACTGTTCACATCGCTGGAAGCGAACACAGATCCAACTCTGTCTAGCGAATGGCAGAAATATCGGCAATACACCATAGACGAGCTCACAGGCATGTACGATCGTCTGGGAGTGCATTTCGATAGCTACGAGTGGGAGTCGCAGTACTCACAACGAGACATCGGAGATGTCCTCACGCAGCTACGTTCAGCGGGGCTGCTACAAAGAGAGCACGATGGTCGTGAGATCGTTGTTGTGAATGAGCGTCGTGTTCCTGTCATAAAGAGCGATGGATCTACCTTGTACCTGGCGCGTGATATTGCAGCATTGTTGGAACGCCAGAGGCGTCTGCAGTTCACGCGCATGCTCTATGTTGTCGATAATGGTCAGGCAGATCATTTCAATGCCCTATTTAGTACGGCAACAGCGCTAGACGCAAGCTTGAAAGACAAGCTGCAGCATGTGAAGTTCGGACGCATTCGTGGCATGAGCACCCGTCAAGGCAAAGCCGTATTTCTCCGTGATGTGCTCAACGAGGCACGTGACGTGATGAGGGAGAAGCGCTTCGCGAGCGCAAGTAAGTGTGAAATTATTTTGTCGACACTTTTGTCATTCAATCTCCACTTGCAGCCACTAAAGCTAATAGCACACTTAATGATGAACACGTTTGCGATATTCTGGGGGTGTCGGCTGTGCTTGTGAACGTGCTGAAGCAGCGCCGGCAGAGGGATCATGAGTTTAGCTGG